GACAAGTTATTTACTTAAATCAGTAATCTGCTTTCACGAGCCTTCTTTAAGTAAAGGTCAAGAATTATTCGTTTAAACAACGGCTACAAATAACAAACTGCTTACCAAGTATATTCTGTGAAATCTGCCGGACTGGGATGATAATGAGCGCTTGAAAATCGTTAATAGGATTAAGCTAGCAAATTGGATATTGAGCATAAGCCAGGCTAAGTTCGCGGTGGACACAGCAAGCGCCGTAATTAGCAGTAACTAAGAGGATCGGAGTCTGATTAAAACTGGCTTAACTTGAACACTGCTGGCCCTCACTCCAGTCCCGTCTTATGTAAGCCCCTATTATTGTACACGAGCAACTTAGTTTACGGACTTTGTATTTTGTGACATTATTAGTGCTTAGTGTTTGACTTTGTTTTCTTTTTGGACTTCTTTATCTTTTGTTTTTTTAGTGAGCGTGCTCTTTTGCGCTGCTTATGAGAGGCTTACACTTCAAGCATTTTGACTGATTCTAATGATGGTCATAATTAAAATGAATTTTCTGATGTCTAGAATAATACTAGCATAATTGAGTCATTTGCAAATGCAAATTCGCTGTGAAAGCTTCTTTGCGATAGCAATTCGCTTTAATAGGTTTATGTTTTTTATAGCTGATTATATTTCTTTCAGTTTTCGCTTTTGAATTAGGCAAGTCTAAAAAAACTTTCACAATACAGCCTCTGGTATTGTTCTAAAAAGTCTTTCCCAAACAAATTATTAAGATAATCCTCTGACTCAAGTCACTACGCACAAGATGGGGATACCTAGTAATTCTGAAGATAACAATGGGACAAAAGACAAATCCAACTGTAAGTCCGGTCAGGTGAGCCCTTGTAGGGCCAAGTGTCCGTCCTTCAGCCAATTGTCGAGTACGTTTCAGACGTTTATATCATTGGAATGGCGGACCATTTAGTTGATAAGAGCTTGGTTTAAGGCTTAAATTGTTCCCACGGAGACTGTTTTTTGCGGGACCTTGTTGTCATCTTTCATATTGATTTAAAAATCTAGGCGTTTGATGTTAATCTAACGCTCCTTTCACTAAGGAAAATACATTAGATTAAGGTTACATAAATATAGGGGCTCGTCAGATTAATTTAAGTAGTCATTGAAAATGTCAAAGTTTGTTTTCTTTTAAACAGGCATTAAACCAAAGCAAACAACTTGATAGTAAGTAGGCTAAAAAAAAGTGGAAAACAAACGGTCCCGAAATTAAAACGGAAACGTAAGAAATAATAATTTTAAGTTCATCAAATCGGTTCTTCGGTTATTCGAGGTCGGAACTCCGTTGAATTGGGTCACAGTTGTTGCGAGTAGTGTCGCCGAAAATCGATAGTAATTGAATATCGATGGAAACATTGGAAAGTTTTATCTTTTTATATTCAATCTTTCGTACGAGTTCAAAAGTGACATTGATCAAATTGAATGCTTTGTGCTGAACTGTATTCAAGTCAAAACTGAAAAAAAGTTTCACTAAATGTAATTATTTTACAAATTATTTAAATAACAGTAGGTAAGTACATTGAGTTTTGTGTAAGACCCTTCATTGTTATGATGTTTTAATGTGAAGACAATAATTCATTGGCTGTCTTGACTGTCTGACTCTACTCGGTGCGTGTTATCAGAGTATAAGCGCTTAATGCAAGGGTGCAAAGTTTTCCGATTTGTCTCTTTATGAAACAAGCTCAAACGGCTTGAAAGATGATGACTTGCGTGCCGTGTCTGATTCGTTTTTGTTTCGATATTTAGCCGTCTGGTATTTTAGGTCGAGACTGCCTTTTTTATCGATATCGACTGAATTGGTTAGGGTTAGGATGTCGCTTCGCATCACTAATTCGAAGCACTCAAGTTTCGGCCTGGAGTGTTCAGAGATGGGATATTGTTCTATCGAGCACACCTTTCGCATGCAAATGGGGGAATGAAGATTATCGTTAGTATTCTGTTTCTTGGCTTGTTTCGAGTTGGGAGTGTAATGTGAGATTCTTTCGGAATATCGAGGTTAATTGAAAAGTGTTCTATCCAATGGCCATTGACGAGCTTTTTATTAACTTTAAAGAACGTGATTGTGTGCCAAAGTATACCGTTATAAGTATACGGCCCTTTGTTCTTTGTATGCCTGAAACCATTACAAAATTTATATCAAATGAAGTGTCTATTTATATTATCAAATTATTAGCATTATAATAATATTTACATAAGCATATGAAAGTATGAATGAAATGGTTAGTAAAATGCGTGACAGACTAAAATTCACGCGGGAAAAGCCGCGGGTAGGAAGATAAGACACTGAAACAATATTTGAGAATGCTATTCAAAAATACAAATAATTTTTGACTGTCTCAGAAGCGTGTATTTTTACTTCATATTGAATGGGATATATCAGTACTGGTCATCATACTTCATGGGCTTAAGCCGCACGACATGACGTGAACATTTCTTTGCATTAAAAAAAGCAAAAACGTCCCGTGTGACCGCGAGTCATCAGCGTACAAGCAAATGATTTACAGGAAACAAGCAAATCCCCAGTCAATTTCTCGCCGTAAAACATGTTTTTGCGCCATAATTATATGTTAATCAGAAACTTTAATGAAGCTGTTGTTAAATGTTAATTTAAAAGAGGGAAATTCGAAGCCTTCCTCTTTTAACACTCACTCGGTGTTTACAAAAACCGGTCCACGGGGTAAACGGGCGATTGGCGTAGAGTACTGAATAATTAAACGTTAAACTGACTGTAAAGTAGGCTGGAGCAGTAGAGACAGACCCTGAAAACTACGTTTTTCAGTTCTGTCTCTACTGTCTCACTAAATCGTTAATGCAGTTTTTAAAAAGACGAGAAAAGGGAAAATATATTAGACATACTCGGTTTATTGCGTACAAACTTATTTGATAAATAGAAGTTTATAAAGAGTGGATTAGTAAAAAACTTTATTGTAGTTACTGGTTACTGTCTCAAAAATAGATATCATTTTATTTAATAAATACATTATTGTGGTGTTTACAAAACTTAGGGTACTATATTTTCATGTTCACAGTACATACATTTAAGTATACCTTAGATATAAAATCCAAAGCACAGATTTTAGCTACAGTATCTACCTAAATATAAAACGAAAGTCCGCAACTGACATCACCCCTTTGTTGCTTTTACCTTACTATAGGTTTTCCTTTTCCCCTTCACTTCTGCGAGTTGTTATTTTCCAACAAAAGAAGCTTATCAACAGTAATAAAAGCTCTTTTAAAAGCTCGTGCTTCTGACGTCCACTCGGGCGCTTCTCACTCCCATTGTATTGTACCGAGCCTTTCGAGTTAAATTACAGGATTATTGAGTCCTAACAATTAAAAGTTTCCCAATTCAATTAACAATTAAGGGTTACGACGTAGCTGCCACTGATTGGACTTTCACATTAATTAATTTTGACTTTAACGTTAAGAGCATCGACTGTTTAATAAGTTTTAAGCATTCTAGCAAAATAGTTTTAGGGTTAAGATCATTACCTACTAAGTACTTATTACCTATTAGTTACGAAATAAATTAAGTGGCAAAATGGCCTCAATATTATGTAGTTATCTCTGGAGGATAATAAATAAGCCAGTTAATCGAAATAATTCCCAAAAGAATTATTCAGAATTTCTCAAAGGGTGTAACCTACCTACCTATAAATAATAGCCATAAAGTATTATATTCAATTAAAGTACATAATATTGTTAACATTGATCCACGGTCACAGTTGCAGTGGTTTCATTCTTCAAAAACTTTTGGCTCTGTTAATGTCTTTTTGCAGACTTTTCTCACTGTTGCAGGTTTTTAAGCGACGACGTCAAATAGAGCAGATTAGATGTGAATTCCGAATAAATATTTCTGTCTAAATACAAAACTTTGCAAATCGATTCATAATTGAAATGTATCGATGAAACACTTTCACCATTTCAAACGTAAATAAATTAAATTGATAAGGATTTATGGCGGTGTTTGTTTTAATTAAGGCATACTAAAGATAACCCGTCATTCCCCAGGGCACATTGCCCTCCAGATTGCTCAGCTGATTATCTAGATGTGCCGGTTTTGGCTGAGTTAATAAAGCCGCAAATTATATATGTATAAAACGTAATTAATTCAGATATAATTTGGATCTTAATTGCGTTGGACCGATCAGTCTTCTTGTTCTGATCACGTGACCCGTAATAATCCTGTGCAGACTTAATGAACTACTGATTACTGAAGCATTAATGGAATAGGCGGCATAATAATATGTTCTCTACTGAATAAGCTTTTCTTTATCAGATAATTAAGTTTTGTATCAAGTCAAATTAACAAAAGATATGTTTGAGAGTAAATTATGGCTCGGATTTTATTATAATTGAGATAAATATAAAAAACTAGATTTTTTCTAATAATCAGGATAAAATCAGAAATAATTGCAACCACGTTGCTGATTTACATCTTTGATTTAAAATAAAAAATATTACCTATCATTTTTGTAAGATGTTCTTGCTACCCTGTTAAACTAATACGAGCTAGCGATTTTTTAAATTGTAAGTCTGATCAGTCAGATGCCAAAGCTGTTGAGCGATTGACCTACGAGTCAAATATCACTCGCGGTCGAAGCCGCCAGATCTATGTTCAAAGTCAAGACGTCAAAATTTCTTTATTTGTATAGATATAGACTATTTAAATAGTACTTACAAATAATTAAATATTTTGCTCTTAAGGAGCCTCTACATGTCTCATAATCTTTTTACTCTACCAGCGCTTCGAGACCAACATTTGGTTCCACTGTGGGTTAGTGGTTAAGCCCTGCCCTTCTAGCGGGGAGAACGCTTAGGTTGGGTTGCACCATTTTACTTTAAGTTTGACAAACGTTAAACATCTGTCAAACTCCATACAAAAAACAACGGTTATCATTATAGTTACGGTCAAATTTGGGTGGTGCAACTCAGCCTTAATGTACATATGCGCAACATATTACACTTACCTGTAGTACAAGAGTGATACAAGCGCGTGTAGCAGCAAGTTGACCAGGTGGTACCCGGCCGGTTGGAGGCCGTGCACCGCGTAGTTCCATCGGAACGTGAGCACAGTCAGCGGCCGGTACGACTTGTGGGACTGTTCCTGAGGACAATGAGAGTATTGGTTAGTTAATTAAGTTAATTGGTTAAGTTATGGTCTGGAAATAAGCCAAAGGCCTTGCACATCTGGCAGGGAGAGCCTCACATAACCCACTGGTTCTCCAATGCATGAAATTGCATACCCACCGGGGGTATGCAATGAGGGCTATCGTTTTTATACTTAACAGTTGGCACCCCTGGCGATTGACAGGACCTTACTCTACAGTGGCGCCATCTTGATGAGTGCAAATGCGATAGTCCTCCTACCACTTTAGCGCTCACAAGTTGGCCCCACTGTCTTCGCTACTAGCAAGTGATAGGACCTTACTCTACAGTGGCGCTAACTGTGTACCTACCATGAGTTTACGTTAGGTGTGCTCGCTAGCGAGTACGTCAAAAATCTCTATGAAGATTTTGTTTCTTTAAAGTAGCCGCTAGGGGCGCTGCACAATATGTCATACAATTAAATGTCATTTTTTTACGCAGTCGCTAGCGAGCACACCTAACGTAAACTCATGGTAAGCACACTGGTGAGCGCTAAAACGATAGCCCTCATTTCATGCATTCCCTGACGATAAAAATAAAGAACAGGCCAAACCAACTATAGTGTTGTTTCGGTGTATCTGTATAAATAAAATAATATCAATTGCCAAATATGTATACATGACTGGAAAAGGTGTCTATGGAAAAAGATTGGAAAGTCATCAGGTAAAGTCGGAAGGATGGCAAGGATGATATTTTCATATAAAAAGTATAAATTGATAGAGCTGACGAAAATGGGACCGACTATGACACCTGTCGTATTTACTTCTTTCTTCTTATCTCTCTTAAAAACCTTGGCTTTATCTATCGATTGCTGATCAGCAATATCAGCTGGTCAGGACCAACAAGTTGTTGGCAACAACGCATAGGCATGGTGTAAGGTTCATAAAATTCTGCGATGCTATTTTGAGAGTCCAGTGGAAATTTTATACTTTACCCAAGTGTGAGGAAATGGTGAGCTTTTGAATATTCCGTTTATTAAAAACTCGTGTGTATTTTTTAATAAAATAGAGCTTAAATGGAATATGATACCGTTGGTATTTTAATGGCGTCCCCATTAAGCGCTTAGCAAAAAAGGCTTTTGTAAAACCATGCCTGTGAAAGTGGGTCTTTTAATCATTTTTAGGGATCCTCTTTCAAATTATCTTAACAAAGATAACGTATACATATACCGCCTTTGTGGAATATTCCTTCAAAGGGTTACACTTTTGATGTTTTATTATGCCTAAGTTTTCTCTCATCTTTAACTTATTCTTGTAGTACCTACATAGAATACTCAAACTCCTTTATTTTTGTATAATATTGTCTGATACATATAAACACTATATCCGTACACGTATATCAGACTAAAAACAATCAACTGATGCAAAGTTTCATGATTAAGTGTTCGTATAAATTTAAAATTGTTTCAGTGATAAAGTATAATAAATAAAAACTTTAATAAAATCGCGGAGAACGATCGATGGAAAAATACCGCACTTAAAATTTGTATCAACTGAAAAACTGATTTATTGTTGCGGTTATTGCAAATTGATTTTTTAAAAGGTATCGCGGAAAATATCCATTTTGTGGCATAATTGCATCGAAGACATGAGCAGAAAATATTTTTATAGTATAATTATCACGGATATAATTTTATTATTATTATATGCATTTTATATGCAACATAAATTAACGTCCGTAAAATATAGTCAATTTATGTCTTTCCTTTTAAAGAAAAGATAATGAACAATTTAGAATCGTCAAACATGTTCACATCTTACAAATAGATTAGTACCAAAGTGAGGTAAGGCTAAGTTGCACCATCTTACTTTAACTTTGACAAACGTCAAGAATCTGTCAAACTCCTTTTAAAAAGCACCGGTTATTGTTATTGCAAGGTGGTGCAACTCAGCCTAAATGTGTCACCGTATCAGCAAAACATTCTAGTGTATTTTAAATCAAGTTGAAGTTGATAAAGTCACAAATCGAAATAAAAAATGGGTGAGCTAATTAAAAGTTTGCTATGAAATATGCAAACATTCAGCTCATCCAATCGCCCGCTCTACGTATTTGGTTGGCTTACTGAAATCTATCTGAAAAAGTGGTTTTATTAATTCCAAATTCTACGAATAGCTATCCACAAACTTCATAATTGAATTCCAGCTTTGAAAAGCGAACTAAAGCCTGCATACCTTCGGTTTGGGTATGAGAAGTTGTGACAACGATATTTATTAGGTCTCCCATATTGTTGCTGTGATGAATGCCCGCCATTACTGCTAGTTACTGCGAGGTGTGCAAGATTTCAGTAGGCTCACTTGAGAGTGGATATTGAAGCATTTAATCCACTGACCAGGTATAAAAAACTCATAAAACTCATTAATTTTTTGCAAATAGGCTTTTAAAAAGCACTTTTACACGTCCCAGTATTAACCTTACCACTGCTTCGGGACAATAAATGGGCCAGTGCTGAGAAGAAACAGCGCAAGAAACTCAGTCACTATTGTCAGCCTCCTTTTCAAGGGTTTATACGTCGGTATATCAAAAATACTGTAGCACGTTATGTAGTTGAGAGAAGTGCAATTTTTCAACAAAAATCTAGTCTTTGTGAACTGGTTTTGGACTGGTATTTTAGAGAGTTTGATATTACGGGTATACCTTGCCGCTAACTGGACGTAACAGTGCCCATTTTAAGGGACCGGGAGTATCAATGGTGATGGTGCCCAAAGAATTTCCTCTGCAACAAATACTATGCCTAGATGTGGGACGTAGATGGCTAACCTGAAATCGACACGTAGACTGGAAATAAAAAAGGAACGTAAGGGAAGAAGTCCCGTAAGGACGCTTATGGGAGCAAGCCTTCTGGTATTGCCCCAATTGTGCTACCGCCACTACCTGACATGGAATTTCATTTAAAGAAGCGTTGCTATATTGCCGCTCCACTCGCTAATTTCGTTCCACTGTGAATCATGTTTATGAGACAGGCAAATTTTTGTGCGTGTGCCTTTAAGGTCTATAAAACTGATTTATTTTTTTGCCATATCGCGACTAATGTGCTTGGTACGTGATAAAATGGCGCCAAGTACATTGTGGTGGTTCTTAAATATTTATGAACTGGCTTGAGGTCTTTATTAGCTTCGTGTACTTAAGCCATTAGGGGTAGCATAAAATTTGTATGTGTTCCAAGTAGGCCTCATTTTTGGCGATGGTCAAAGATGTAAAAATTGGTATAAATAGATGGATGTCCTACAGTGTTCAGTAAGTAACTAGCTCCATTATAAGAGGTAATGGATAAAAAAGTAAGTAAAGTACCTACTTGCGAAGTAAGGTAGACATACAACATTGTATCCCGCGGAATTCTATTCTGTAACCGTAGTTTTTAATCAGAAATACATGATACTGGAATTTCGTCGTTTTTTCCAATACTAGAGCGGCCTTAGTCAAGAATATACTTTGAATCTTTATTAAAATGCGTTGTTACACGTCTCTCGATTAACGTATGAAAATATCCCTTGAACTACAACACTATTCATCCCATACTGTCCATTAGAATCCTAAGCGGAGTGCAAACACGGCATCACGGCCGCGGCATTGAGATTATTTCCTGCGGAGACAACCCTGCCAGATGCTAACAGCTTCTTATATTTGTTCAAGAGATTAATGCCTAGGGCTGTCACCGTGTAATAACACCGCCCGAAGGCGGTACACAAGGAAGCGTAGTGATGTGCAGTTTGGTTGGTGAGTTTGTACCGGTTGTCTATTCCCTCAAAATTTTGGTATACTGTTCGGAGTAAAGATTTGAAGTAAAAATATTTTAATTGTTCTTTAAAAGGCAGATGGATGCGGGCAGCGCAGGACCGTTCATTGTGGAAAACCTTGGGGGAGGCTTTTGTCCAGCAGTGGACGTCATTTGGCTGAAACGAACGAAAAGGCAGATAAAATGGTACACTGTCATGATTAACACAGCTCTACACACCTAGTTCATGTCAAATCGATCATTACAGATTTTGCTACCTAAACATAAATCTTTAACCGGTTTTAACTGTATTTATCAATAGCACTGTCCCAGTGTCATCTGTCACAGTTGTTATAGTGTTGTCCAGCTTTATTTTTTTGTTGAATGAGAAACCGAAAATGCAGTATTGGGTTTTATGTTTAACTATCCCATCATTAGCATTTCCCAAGGCACTACAAGGACTACGTGTATCTATCACGTTTGACATGTTCAACGTAGTGTTTCCCAGCGTTTCTTGCTACCTAAACCCATAACCTAACCATAACCTAAAACCCATTTTTAGTACCTTATGCACCTGTAAAGTTATCACATCCGACGCTACTATTCCCTAGCGTATCTTACTGAGTGAGAAACCGTGAACCGGTATCCGGTTTTATGTCCCATCACTGGCACCGCCCACGGCACCCACAAGGACTGCGTGTATCTGTCACGGTTGTCACGTCCAACGCGAATTCCCTAGCGTTCTTATCGCCGAGGAACGCGATATGTCTCGCTGTTTCGATTGATGTTGATGGGAGGGAAATGTGACGATTCTACTGCAATCGTGCAATACTTTTTAACCCTAAGGCTGGGTTGCACCACTTTATATATGTCAAACTCCATACAAAAAACACCGGTTATCATTATAGTTACTGTTAAAGGTGGTGCAAATCAGCCTTAATGTGAGTATGTGTATGTCTATACTCTCAACACAAGGCCAGTTCAAATTATGTGTTCACTATGTTACCATTGTCTGAGTGAGGGTTAAATTATTTTTTAACTACAGTAGGATAACGTATTAAATTTATTGAAATTATTCTATTTCCATAGAAACACGATGCTACGTTTTCTGAATTTATTCCCAGTGAGAATACAATGACATTATTTATGAGAATGTCATAAAGTTGACAAATATTGTAAAGAAAAACCTTTAAAGAAAAGTTATTTTATGAAGACTAGCTTTTGCCCGCGTTAATTTCGTTCTGTCATAGAATTCT